CCAAGCGTCACCTACGAAGGCTGCTGCCGTCTGTGGGAGAAAGCAAGCACAGTCCTGCCCATGCCCACACCAGACTTTAGCCTCATTTCCTCCCCAGAGAGCTCTAGATTAAACTTCCTCCTTCCTGTTACAGCTGTTTAACGAGGCAGGGTTGGCTTATGGCAAATCCAAGGAGGGCAGAGCATGGGCAGGGCTAGGAGCAGCTGCCCTCCCAGGGAGCCCGTGACCTGCCTTGTCACTCCCTCTGGGCAGCCACAAACCCTCCAAGAACCAGGACGCTGTTTCATCAGCAGTCAGGCCAGGGAGGCTGTTGGTTGGGCCAGGACTCAAGGCATCATCAGCTGATTCATCACCCCTTCTCCACCAAGGTAGGGAAGAATGAGCCCTGAGCCTCGGGTACGCCTCTGCCAGGCTGGAGGGGGCTTACCTCTTGGTCCACATTTTTGAAAGAATGATAGAAGCAGGGAGGGTGGGAAATGAAGGATAAGCATGCCTGGGAGACAAAGCAAGAGGAAAAGAAGAGGGAAGCTACATAACTGAAGAGATTTCTGAGACTGCACTGAGGAGGGGGAATGAACGGACTTCATCTGAGGGGGTCTGGTTCAACTGACAATCGGCCAAAGAGAAGGCTGGCTTAGCATTCAGTGCAGTTCATGCTGTGATTGATTAGTTATGCCTGCTGTGGGTACAAAGATAAGATCCGGGGTTCAAAGGCCTGGGATTTGAAAACCTGCACTGTAGATAGATATCCTTTGACCACAATGAATCTCCACATGTATTAATTCACCCATGTTTTTAAAAGAAAGAAAAAGTACATTCTAGATGAACATCAAGTTCCACAAATATTTGAATAATGAATAAAGAAGGACAGGGTGTTCTCTGGCCACAGATTTATCTCTGAAAAGACTGACCTGAAATGTTGTGACAAGGGTATGTGGTCTTGAGGATTTTCCAGCAAGGTACTGTCAGGCTGGTCCCTCTCCCTAAGATCTGTTTCCTCATCTGTGAAATGGGAGTGAAGGGCTGAATATCCCGGTTCAATCCCTTCAGTCCTAGCCCATTAGACATCTGTGGGAGGAAATACCAAAGCACAGAAAACAACCCAGCTGCATGCTAAATGCTCTCCATGCAGTGTCCTCCATGTGGCCATTTCCATTATTACTCCCACTCCAAAACCAGGGAGCAAGTCTTCATTCCCCCAGGCAGAGTGGCTACAAAGTTTATACCCTGGCACTCTGCTCAGTGCCGTGTGATACAGCTGGTTTGGGAGTGTCCCTGCAGATGGCTCACTCACACAATATTAATTAAATACTTCCTAAGCGCTTCCTACAGGACAGGTAAATACACCAGTGCTCTAGCCAGAAAGAAAAAAAAAAAAAAACAACCTACAGGAACAAAGGCATATGCTAAGGCAGTTTGAACATAGAAGGCAGGGAGACAAGGAGGCGGGAGGGGGGCTCAGGGGACAGTGCAGACCAGAGCAGAGAAGAGATGGCCATCAGAGGTGAGTTCAGGAAGGGTTACACCCACGTTAAGCCCAGCTGGAGGGGAGAGTCGGCCTTCTCCCAGTTCCTGCATCTGTGTCTGCTGATAGACACCTAGAAACTTGGAGCCTTCCGACACAGCTCCTTCTGCATGAACTGCCTTGTCTGAAAGCTGGCCCTAGTTGCTTGCTCTGTTCCAGGAGGAATTTGGAGATCTGCAGAGCTAAGAAGCCTAACCTCACTTAGGCATTTTTTCTGGGGGCAGGGGATAGTCTAGTGACTGACAACGTTTTCTTAGTCTGAAGCAGCTGCTCCTCCTGGGATGAATTGGGAGAGCTGTTGCAAATAGACAAAGGACAGCCTATGGGAGGGCTGTTTCAAATAGACAAAGGACAGCCTATGGGAGGGCTGTTTCAAACAGACAATGGACAACCCACAGGAGAGCTGTCTCTCAGAGAGGATGCTGAAACTTCCAATGATTGGTACCAACCCTTTTGGAAGCCCTAGAAAGTGGTGAGAACTCTGAAGTTTCCTCCCCAGGGAGCAGCCAAAAGTTCCAAAGTCACATATAGAAGTACCTTCAGTGTCTGGACCCCAGATCTGCCGTTTGTCTGTCTGTGTCTCCTTGTGTTTCATCTTCTGTACTTGCCTCAGCCTCTCTGTCTCCAAAGAATGGGGCATCCATTTTTCAGCAGATAGATTTAATTTACTTATTGGGATCCATAGTTTGGCTTATTTCTTTTAAAAATGAAAACAATAACATTAACACATTCCTTGAGGCTTGACTGATGTAAATTTGCACAAAAAAATCAGTAGCATAAAGCACTCAACATGGGGCCTAGCATGCCGCCAGTGACCACACACGCTGGTACTCTTGTCAATGTTCAGTGCCTACTGTGCCTTAGGCACTGTGCAATGTACCAGGCTTTTAGAAATGACAGAATGCTATCTCGGAAAGTTCACACTCTATCAGAATAGTCGCACTGAAGACTGGGAGTAAAACAGGTGGTGACACTACAAGAGATATGTTGTGTTGGTGAGCTTCCCGCCACTGTGACAAAATACCAGAGAAAACCAACTGAAAAGATGATTTATTTGGCTCATGGTTTCACTCTGTTGTCATCTGACTCTGATGGATTGAGGCCGGCGCTATGTCAGAGTATATAGAGTACACTGTGAAACACAGCTGCTCATTTAGTGATGACTGGAAAGCTAAGAGTGAGAGCATGCGCTTGAGGTTGTAGACAAAGCGTAACCTGCGAGGTCATACCTCCGTGAACCACTTCTCTTAGCTAGGTTCCACCCCTTAACACGCCCACCACTTCCAAATAGCCCATTGTGTTAGGAACTCAGTAGATGAATCAGTCCTAACGTTAGAGTCCCGTGGTTCAACCATCCCTGTAGTGATTGGATCTGAACCTCTGAACACTTGTACATTGGGCACCAAGCCTTCAACATATGAGCTTTTGGAGGATGTCTCACAGACAACCCAGAACAGATAGGGAAAGATCCTGCGTGATCAATACAAGCAGCAGTCACACATTGAGTGTGGTGCATGTGGGGGTTTGGCTCCACATCTAGCACGGCATTGAGTACTGAAATGCAACTTTGCATGGTGAGTCTTAGTCCCATTTTACAGGTGAACGACTGACGCCTGAAGAGAAAAGGCAACCTGCCAAAAGTGGAAAGGCTGGGAATGGGAGGGACAGACGTTTTGGCCAGGAAGACTTAGCAAAGGAGGCTGCATTCCACAAAGCATAGGGTCCCAAGCAAACAGTACTGAAGGCAGCTGTGGCGGACAATGCCGCAGAAGAGCAGAAGTGTGGCAGCAGGAGTTAGATTCAACAGGCTGCTTACGGGAGCCAGGCCAAGGACTTGGATCTTCTCATAGGTATTCATCCCGCAATGGTAGCAGCGGAGGGGTGGATTCACTAGAAATGACATCAGAAAGCAGTCTGTTCCTCAAGACACAGGAAGCTGACCTGATTCTTTTAGCCCTGTGATCAAACTTTGGAAAGGAAAAGATAGAATGGGAGTGTAACTTGAAACTTTCTCACCTATGTAGGTGTGAGAATCCTTGTATTTTAGGCAGGAATCTTGGTGCCAATGATGAAAAAATAAAAGACTTGAATTGGCATCTGGGAATGACTGATATAGGATTCTGACTTTGTGTTGCTCTATTCTTCAGCAAGCTATCCACACAGGAGAGCTGTCACTGGTAAAATGTAGTTCATAAAAAAGAATAATCCTGACAAGGCTGATGGTAGAACAACTGTGCTTATTAGAATCAATACGGTGATTATTCTCTGGTCAGATATCTGGGTCTTATATCTTTCTAGATGAAACATATTCAAGCACATTCCCAAAAGGCAGTGATCTTGAATTATCAGAGGTTTTGGTCTACTTCTGATAGAAACCAAATTACCTACGAGTGAGTATACTTCTTCACACTTGACCTGACTGAAGTGACTCAAATGATCAGCAGGCTTGCTGAGGGAATGTAATCCCACCATAATTCATTTGGTATGCTGGTGACCCCAGACAGTTTTTCAGCAAAGAGAACTCTGGTGACTCAAACTGCTAACCTGAAGATGTCCCAGTCCTTGAAATTGCCCTGATTCTCTTAACCAGTTGAGGGAAGGGGAAGGGTTGTGTGGGAAGATGTCTTCCACTTTTCTCCAGCTGTTCTGTGGGTATCAGGGAACTCCATTGTCCATGCATCATTTAAAGACTCTTGTTCCATGCTTATAGGGTACTTGTAGTTAAGGGTACGTGCAGCATTCCCAGAGATGAAGGCAGGGAGCACTGCTTCATTGCTGACACTTGTTCCTTAAGCAGCACGCCCTTTTTACAGACTACTGAATCTGGGTGCATCCTTGTACTTAATTCCCATTATAGGCAATGCTGGTAGGCATGTACAGACAAGAAAACAGGTTGAGAGAGGACTATGCCTGCAATACCATGATGAAGGCCACAGCAGGCTCTACCATGTCCCATTATTAACCACCCTACAGACTACAGACTTCCTGAAGTTTTACAGGAGTGAATGGGACTAAAGTACTCCTCTTACTGAGGGTATCCCTGGATGGCAGCAGTGGGGTGGGGTGGGGGACGGATTACTGAACAAAGTATATCAGACCATGACCTCCATTCAATATATCCAGAGGAATGACCTCCTGAAACCCATATAAAGCTAGAAGACAAGAAACTAGCCATCAAAGTGAACAGGTTCTCATGGAACTGCCATTCAGGAGGGTGAAGGTGGAGACAGAACCTTAGAAACTTCCTCTTATCCCACATATCTGCCTTCTGCATCACCTAAGATAAGCTTCAGGCCAGGGAGCTCCCAAGCCCATGTGCACATTTGTTGGATCTTGTGGTAGACTAATTCCCATTTCCTGAGGAACTGCCATACTGATTTCTAAAGCAGCTGTACAAGTTAGCACTCCCACCAGCAGTGGATGAGTGTTCCCCTTTCTCCACACCCTCTCCAGAATAAACTGTCATTCAACACCCTGTTTTTTTAAAGCTTTATTGGTACACATCCACATTCACTCATTTACACATCTACAGTTTCCATCCTGTTCAAGTAGCAAGGCTGAACTGTCATCTATGGGAACAAATAACCTGCAAAGTCCAAAATATTTCCAACCTAGTCCAACCTGCAGTTGTTAAGCATGGGACTTCCTAGGGGGCATGGTGGCACAAGCCTATATCCCAACCCTCTAGAGGTTGAGACAGGGGCGTTGTAAGACCAACCTAGGTTGTGTATAAGGCCAATCTGAGACCCTGCCTTAAATTTAAAGAAGAAAAGTAGGCTCCTGACATGGACAGTCTCATCTGAAATCATTTTTATCTCTGACTCTCAGCTATATGACTTGATCACTCTGTGACTCAGTTTCCCCAGATTCTTCACTGACCTGCTACAGGATTAAATCTGTTAAAATAATTCAAGGTTACACAGTGCCTAGTACAGAATATTTGTCATCATATCCTGGGACAGCCCTAGGAACTGGGAGAGCAAAATCTCTTCAACAAATAAGGACTGGAGAGATGGCTCAGCACACAGCAGGCACCTTGCAACCTCCTGTAACTCCTGGTCTCCACAGTCATTCACACACACAAGCACATACACACAGAGACATCTAATGCCTTAGTTCTGCTTTCTATTGCTGTGATAAAACAGCACAATCAAAAGCAACTTGGGGAGGAAAGGGTTTATTTTGTCTCATGACTCAAATCACACTTCTTCACTGGTGGAAGCCAGGGCAAAACTCAAGCAGGGCAGGAACCAGAAGGCAGGAACTAAAGCAGAGGCCATAGAGAAGTGCTACCTACTGGCCTGCTTGCCCATGACTCTCCCAGCCTGCCTTGTTACACACCCTAGGGCCCTCTGCCCATGGGTGGCATCTTCCCCATCAATCACTAATTTAAAAAAAGGCCCACAGGCTTTTGTAGGTAAGCCTATGGGGTTTTTTCTTAATCTTCTCAGCCATGGCTCCCTCTTCTCAGCCATGTCTAGGTTTGTGTCAAGTTGATAAAAACCAAGCATTACCTGCACATTTTAAAAATCTCTCTACAATAGTGAGGACAGGATACTATGGAAATAATAAGCTATTTCCTTGCTAAATAAATGTCACTGGAACAAATCCTTCCCACCAGCCATCTCATTGTTTATGGATTTATTCACAGAAAACCTCGCTTTGTATTGGTGACATCATCAATAATTTCTTGTAACTATCAGGGCATTGGGAGAAGAACTATCCAGGAATGAATGGTGGCCTCACACAAGCTAGTTACTCAGGGTGGACAGATGTGATTAGAACATGAGGGAAAAGGACAACTGGGTCTGGGCAGGGCCTCTCTCAGCCCCTTATCCCAGGTCGATCCTTAGGACCGTCAGCAGGCATCACAGTCCCTTAAGTCTTCGATTTCACTCTCAGTCATGTCTCTACCTTGGTCTCATCTTCTTCACCCTGAGCTGTGTCCCCCAACCCTATCATTGCCCTGCAGGGCGTCTGTCTCCCAAAGTGTCCATCCCTAGCAATGAATCCCAGGGATTGGGGAACAGGTAGAAGCTCCTGGAAGAACAGTGACCCACAGCCTTCTGCGAATCACTCAGTCTGTGACATGTCCAAGACCAATGCGGAAATAACCAGGGCTTACATTTCCAGAACCCGGTTGGGTTCTAAAGTCCAGATACGTCCTCTGGGTGGTCTAGCTTGACGGGGAAATGATGCGAGATAAAAAGAAAGAAGCCATGTTGGTGTAGGGAGAAGGCCGGTTTGCAGAAGCCCTTTCCTTCGTTCTCAGCACACCTTCCATGTGCCTGGTGCTGGGACTGAATAAAGACTAGAGAAGATGCAGGCACTGTTGGCTGGCCAAAAGCTCAGCCACCCATGAAGCAGTTCAAGCACTCTGATGGAGGGGTTCTTGTGATGGCAGGAAAGGTCCATGAGTCAGAATTTAACAGGTAAAGTTCTCACTTCACTAACGACACCGACGACATGTTCTGGCTGCTCCTTGAGAGGTCATCCTCAGCCTAGGGAGATGCTCTTCCTTCTCAGTCCACCTTGGCTCTAGGCAGGTTGGGGTTGAGCTGAAAGTCACCTGTGTACAGAGAAACCAGGAAAGAGGAAGAAACTGGCATCCTGGATCGTGCAGGGCCATTAAGAAATGTGGCAATGCAGATTGGGCGGGTAAGGTAGAGCTCAGTATTAGAGCACACAATTGGCATGCTCAGTGTCCTAGGTTTAATCCTGAATACTTTTTTAAGGGCAAGGAAATGTCACAGGCAGCAGGCAGAGATGCTGTGGTGACACAATGGCTCCATAGGAAGAATAAACATCCCTATGGGAATGATGCCAAAGAGGAATATAAACAGAGAGCTAAAGGAAGGAGCCCTGTAAGCAAGGTGGCTAGCGCCTCTCAGGCTCGCACAGAGAGACCTGCTGCATGACCACTTTCACAACAGGTGGATAGCATCACCCCTTTTTCAAAGCTCTGAGACTGTGCCCACTATGAGCCGCAGTTCACAAGCAGCAAGCCCACATCTGTCTGACTCCACAGGCACCCCTCACATTCATCACATCACCTGCCACTGCTTAACTCTTCTATAACCAGGCCTCCACACTGACCCCACCAGCCTAGACTTACAGAAGTGTCTCTTAGCACCTGTCTCCTGCCCTCTATACACCCATCAGTAAACTGTCAGATTGGCCTTGTTTGAGTCACTTGCTAAGTTCAAAAACAGTCACAAAGGACATAAAATGGCCCCATTCGGTGACCCCGTGTGGCAGGATAGCATGATGACTGTGCCTCTCTCCAGGACTGCATGTGTGTGTTTAACCCTTAATTTCCAAGCTCACAGAAAACTTCCCAGAGAAAGTGGTTTTTGCCATGAGGCTTACAAGTTGAATAAGAATGTTCCAGACATAGACTCTTAGCAACCAAAGACAGGTAAGGGCAAAGTTCAGGGGTACAGTGTGACTTGTCACAGTCATTCTCCTGTGCCTAGCACCCAACCTGGCTTCACACTGTTGTCCAGAAAATGCTTCAAGAATAAAATCCACAATATGTTGTGTGGCCTTAGAAGTGACTTGGTCCCTAAGACTTCCATCTGCTTCCCCATGTGGTAGGCTTTGTCATCCTACCCTTCTAGGACTGGGCAGGATCCAATTCATGTCCCGATATACACTGAGCACGCCTCAGTGCTCTTGCAGCTCTGGGCTCCAAGACACAGGCCTGCTGGGAGAAGAAAGTGTTTGGGACTCCTAAATCGATCTGGAGGCAGAAATCAGCAGGGAGTGTGGGAAAGAGCAGGACAGAGAGAGAGGCCAGCGACAGGGAGGTGCTGGCTGGCCCTCTGGTCAGAGAGGGATGGCAGAGCTCAAGCAACTCAGGCCCTCCTCACAACCCTCTTTTTATTCCTTCCCCCACACCTGTCCTGCTGGGTGAGCATCAGCCTGCTGTTAATCTGTGCCTCAGGCCACTAGGCCTGGCTGCATCTAGAACTAGGAGACCTTTTCCCTGCAACCCAAATGACCAGTTAGGACAGGGAAAGACACCCCTGTAACCTGTTCCTGGAGTTCTCACCCTCACCAGCAGACCAGTCCTAAGCTCTGGCCCCAAAACACAATAGCCTGTGCCACAGTGAGCACATTGGGGACTCTGGAGGTGAGGGAGCCCCTCAGGTGTCAGGTGGGCAGCCAGGGACTCAAGCAGGAGGGACTTCAGGCTAGAGAGCCCACAACCAAGGGAGGACTGACCTGCTGCTCCCCACCCTAACCCCGAAGCCAGGCCTGCCATGTTTGACTACCTAGCCAGGCTTGTGTGCCCTGGCCCTCTTTTCTCCTGTCAATAATATTGCCTGGGTCTCCTGTGTCCCTGAGTGTCTTCCAAGACTCCTTGTTCTTCCCTCTGCCTCCTTCATATCGTCATCATCTTCCCCTTCCGTTGCTGCTCCTGCCTCATTCTCTTTTTTCCTTCCTCGGTCCACCCCACCCATACCCCTGATGGGCTCAGCTGTTTCCTTGCATTCCCTGCTATCATCCCGGCTGTCCCTATCCCAGCCCCACTCTGCCTCCCTGAGTACCCAACATATGAGGGGCATAGAATGCCCTTCAGTTCTCGTGTGGAAGCCCCTAGGCTACAAGTCACGTTCCTAAGGACCCCTTGACATTAGAATTTTTTTTATCTGAAACGGTTGTCGTTTGACTCTCAGGGAAGTCAAAGGCTCTATAGAAGGTTTCTTGAGGGGAGGTGTGAGTGGAAGAGGGGGAGACACAGGCTCTACTCAGAAGGCCCTGGGGAAGGTTCCCACTGGAGGTTTCAGTAGCTGGTCCTGTTGTTTAGACATGAGTACTTCCCATACAGACAACAGGGAGGCCAGAGACCTTGTCCTGCAGCATAGGGTGTCAGAGCCCTGTGGAGTGGAGTCTTCTCTCCCATTTTAGCAGTGAGCCCTTGGCAGTTGGACACTGGAGAATGTTGAGATGAAGTCCGTTAAGATAGATTCTACAGGGAGGGCGATGAGGGGAGTAAAAATCCCAAAAGACCACTCCAACTTAACACCACCCAGCCCTTCCCTCTCCTAGCTACCATTTGGCTGTTGCTATATAATCTAGACATACAGGACCCACAGAAAAGTGACTACTGAACTTGATGGGGCAGTCCTAAAGGGTTCCTGCTTCATGGAAGAGTCTGCTGACATTCTACAAGACACACAAAAAAATGAACTGCCAATACAGGTAGACAGTTTAAAATTTCCTGATTTGCTGACAAGTCTGCCAGGCATACTGTGACCTATGGGCTGAATATGGATACCCCAGCGTTACAAAGAAACTTCAGTGACTGTCCAGGTAGCGAGATATCTCTGTCAATTCTAGTGTTTACATATTATCCTTCTGTGGTCTTTGATGGACTTGAAGACAGATAGTTATAGTTACAATTTTCCTTAGTTATGACAAAAGATAAGTTATATATATAAAACTTTAGACTCAACGATAGGCTAGATGATATTTTCTTTAAATGTTACTAAATCTTACTAAATGTTAATGGGTTAAATATTATAACTACAGTTCTTACTTGGTAACTGTTTTGTTATATCTAATTTGACTATGTTAAAGTTAAAATATTTCTTTTATTTTAGACAAAAAAAAGAGGAGATGATGTGGGAAGTCCTTCTGTGTATATGTTGTCTTATTGGTTGATTAAATAAAGCCCTGTTGGCCAAAAGGGTGGGCCTAGGAGTTGAGGAGGATTCTGGGAAACAGAGGCACAGTCGGTCAGAATGTAGGACTCGAGAGAAGAGGTCCAGACCCTTTCTCCGGTAAGAGAAGACCACGTGGAAATACTCAGGTTAGCAGTTATGGATTAATAATTAAATCAGAGCTAGCCAATAAGAAACCAAGAAAATGGTCAACAGCTTCATAATTAATATAGTATCTCGTGCGTTATTTGGGGGCTGAGACAGCAGCAGAACCCAGGCGGCTGGTGGGAAGACTACATGTTACACCAGCTTTCAAAGCTGCCACATTACTGGCAACTGCCCAGTGCCTGAGGACAACACAGAAGTGTGGTAAGGATGACGCAGACCCTTCTCAGGACGCACAAAAGAAGAAAACTCTGGTTTAAGCTCTCTTCTGAAACAAAAAGTACTAGAAGTGGTCCCTGGGGGAAATGCAGGGGACCCTTCTAGCTGCAGATATGTGTCCAAGTCCCTCCTCTCACTTCACCTGGTGTGTGACCTTGGTCTTAGCCATGTGAGCTGACCTGACTAATCCCTTAAAAGACTCTTCGTACAGCACCAGACTGGCCTGCAGGATGCCAGGGTTGGCTGCTCCCTGATGCTTTTACTGGTGTGACAGCCCTGTCAGGCAGGAGTGGGGAAGACATGGAGAAAGGGAGGAAGGCCGAAATTGGGGAGGGAATGAAGGTAAATCAAGTCTTCCAAAATGCACCTTCCCCGACTTTCTCATCTCTGCATTCACTAGGAGCCTGAGTGAAGGAGACATGGGGGGAGGGGGGCTGCTCTCTGCTCACAGGACAGGCAAGAGGAACCCGAGCCAAAGGATTCCAAGTGCCAGACTCGGTTTCGGCACCCACCCTGATCTTTAGACCCCAGAGGCCAGCTTGTAATTGGACATTCTTCTCTCCACAGGTTAACGCTGACTCTAAGACATTCTCCTTGGCAAGATGAGAGTGTCAGGTAGGACAGGGCTCTTCAGGTTCTTGGAGTGGGTGCTCCAAAATTCTCTTTTCTGTCATCAGTGTTCACTCACCCCAGCCCCAGGGGTGATTCAGTATTTCTTGTCAAAGGTCCCAGCAAGAACTCCAGGAAGATAGCATGCAGAAGAATGGGGGTGTGTCCAACCTTTGGACATTGTGACATAACATTGTCATCTACAAAGCCCCACCCTTTACAAGTGCTAATAAGTTACACATACACATAAATACATACATACACGCTGTGTGCATACATGTGTGTGAACAGCTGTGCATAGAAGCCAGAGGTCAGTGTCAGATGTTTTCTTCTCAAACTCTACTATATTTTTTGAGACAAGGTCTCTCCTTGAACTTGGAGTTCCCCAGATATGGAGCCCCTGGATCTGCCTGTCTCTACCTGCCTCCTCCAGCCGTGCTGGGGATATCCATACATGCCCCAGCACTGACTCTGACATGTATGCTGGGGACCTGAACATAGGTCCTCATGTCAATACTTTACCCACTGAGCAATCTCTCCATTAATTAAAAAAAGTCTTTAAATGTTTTTAAGTTTACAGTTGGATAACATTCATAGCTAGCCTAGGATGCCTGTGTCCCACAGGTCATAATTTGGACATACTAACAGGCTGGGGGAACTCAAGAACTGCTGCCCAATGGCCCTATCTGCCTGGAATCCCAGCTTAGAAACATCTGGCTCTGGACAGAAGTCAGGGACCACATGCCAACCTCAAGGAGGACTGTTTCAGGGTCCTCACACCACCGGCACCACAATAAGGGTGTGTCTCCAGGATACACCTTCAGATGGACCCCTTTCTACAGGCATTGAAAGGGGAGTGTGTGCAATACACACCCCCAGGTATACTCCCAGGTAATTATAAGAAAGCGTGGCACCTGATTTGAAGTCAGCTTATTTGCCTGGATTCCAAACCTCACTTCTACCAAGTGATATGGGAGAGCAGCTAGCTCTTCCAGCCTCAGCTGGAAGTAATATGGTAGCAAGAACTTTTAATGGGAGTATAAACTGAGATAATCTATTTTAAATCTGTCAGCATAGTACCTGGCACAGAATGCGTGCTGCCAAATAGGGACTGGTGCCTGAGAGAGATTCTGCTTTGTAAGCACAGTGCACCAAAAGACAAGGAGTACCCTCAAACCAAATGAAATCATGTAGTTATACTCTGATCCTTGCAAGGCAAGGGAGTAGATGGGCTCTAGGTGCCTCTCCCTGGTATGGGATTGCTCTCCAGAGTCACTTCTGACTGTGAGGCAAGGGAGGCTGGAGAGCTATGCCAGCTCTATTGAACAAGTCCACTGTGTGGTTATTTGTGGTGGCTCTGAGCTAATGACAAATATGGAGGACATCCTCAGCTCCCCAAGCCACCAGAATACTACCTACTACTATGACTATAATACCAACAAACTAGGCCATCTATCTACCCATCCATCCATCCATCCATCCATCCATTCACCCACTCATTCATTATCCATGTAACCACGCACCTGCCATTCTATCCATCCACCTGTTTTTCTTTCATTCACCAAATACATATTGGTACATGTTCTGTATATAAGAAAGTCATATTCCAGGAAATAGAGTCAAGTAACAACTAAGTGGTATGAATGGTGATGGTATTTAGGAAGAAACAAGATGATGTGAGAGAGGCTAAATGAGGAGGGGATACAGGTGGAACCCTCGGGGCCAGGGACCTCAGCAGTAAGGGCATTTCCATATCTACTCTTTGGGAATGAGTGACTTTAGCTCAGAGAGGGTGAACTCCTGCACACGGTACAAACCCCACGATACATCTCTATGGGTTCTCTCTAGGAAACTAACTGGGGTCCAAGGTGCAGCACTTTTAAACCATTAACAAATGCTATTTTGGAAGTGTTCACGAAATCTAATCATATGATCTCACTGTCTAACCCCAGCATGAACTTTTATGTAGCCTTGGAACATGGCCTCATGGTGTGCATATGGGTTGTACCTACAACACAGGGTCTCCCATATTGGTGTTGTTGCTGGAATTTGACAAGAACTTTGCGCTGTAGCCTCCTGTTGGGGTGTGGCAGATGATCTGACAGTCTCCCTCGTTGCAGGTCTGATTCGTGTTGCGGCCTTCATGTTCACCCTGGTTGCCATGTGGGTCTTTCTCCGCAACTACATTAGCTTCAGCAGAAAAACAATCCGTCTGCCACGCTGGCTGAGTAAGTGGAGCTCATGGCCCATAATCTACAAACCAGGGACGGAGTAATGAGGACCACTTTTTCTTGGGTGACCCAGGAGCCAGCCAGCTGTGGTGAGCTGTGCACTGGCATTTTGGGGCACAGTGTAAGATTCTTGGACTGCGAGGAAGGAAGGCTGGAGCCACGGGGAATGCAGAAATGTTCCAGGCCCTGGTCTAGGGAAGGTTAGGGGAAGGAAAGAAGGAAGTGAAGAAGAAATAATACTGTCCAAGTAGTGAGTGAAGAATAAAATAATAATGTCTGAGTTACGAGTGGCTTCTCCTACCTGCTGTTCCCTCTGCTTCAAACCGTGTCTCTGTACAGGGCATGCAGATGTGCTCCATCTCACATTCAGCTCCCTGCTCAAAAATTACCACTTCAAAAGCCTTTCCTGGCCTCCCTGCCTCCAGCTGTAGCCTGTCCTCCTCACTTAGCCTCTTCCGTGTCAGCCTGTTTCTTTCCAAACATCATCATCATGTTATTTGTTTCCCTAGTTATTGCCTCACTCTACCTCCAAAAATATAACTTTCCTGAAGACAAGGATTTTGTGTCTAGGGAAATGCCAATAAGTATTTGATGAGTGAAAGAGGGAGGATGGTTGTGATGCCTACTATGTGCTGTCAAGTAAACTGAGTCACATGTGCTTAAATATCACACCCACCATGCACACGGGGTTAAGGCTCAAGCTGACAGCATAGCACAGCTTGATTTTAAACATGAATAATTTGTGTCTGTGCATATGTATGTTTATGCATGAATGTTGAATATGCATTTATTTGCAGGTATGTGTCTGTGCATGGGTATCTTGGCCTGCGCATGTGTGCATATGAATGTATATTCATTCATGCCTATTATGAATGGGTGGCAGTTGCAACTGAGAGAAAGCTCCAAGATGTAACAGGAGGGCCAATTCTGTCAGTGGTGCCACATCAAGGTCTCCTGTTCCCACTGCCCAGCCATCAGCCCCCTCCCCCTCCTGTAAGAGGCCTAAGTACCTTTTCACTAACCATATTCTTTCTCTCAAACAGGCATGCCCTCCAAGGAG